GGATCAGTCTGTCTTGTGCACCTCAGCTTTAGGATTGCAAATGCATGTTGCCACACCTGGCTTTTACATAGGTGCTGGGGGTCCAAATTCTGGTTCTCATGCTTTGTGTAGCAGGCACTGTACCGACTGAGCCATCTCTTTAGCCCCTCAGTTATCTTTGTAAGCACTGACATATTTTTTAAAATCTTTTGTTAAAAAGGTGTGCATCTTGCTAAGTATTTTTTTTTTCTAGAATACTGGGAACCAAATTTTGACATATTGTATGATTATTTAAAGACACAATGCATGGCTAAGCAGGGATAGCTTTCTTATATACATGTGGGTGATTTTGGCCAGTTTGCTCAAAGAATTCACCCTTCAGACTAGAGTAGGAAGAACATCACTGTGGTGATACATTGTTTGATTCAATAAAGCCTGACTGAAGGATCAGAATGCAAAGCTAGCCACAGCCATAGAAGCTGGGCAGTGATGAAACACTTTTAATCTCAGGACTCAGGAGATAGAGGCAGATGGATCTCTGTGAGTCCAAGACTATCCTGGGCTACATGAGAGTGAGTCAGTTTAAAAGAACTTATGCCTTTAATCCCAGCACTAGAGAACTATATAAGGAAGAAGCAAAGGGTCTCATGTCAGATTCAGTTTCCAGTCACAGGGAAGACAGGATCTCCATTTCAGCTTGGTAAGAGCTACTGGCTGACTGCTTTGCTTTTCTGATCTTCAGCTGGAGCCCCCATATCTGTCTCTGGGTTTTTATTGTTGTTGTTACACATCACAATTCCTTAATGATGTTTTTAGAAAATCAAATGTTAATTTTGATAGTATCCATTTCTTTTATATATTTTGTATTTAAGAAAGTAAAAAGTTCTACAAGTTACTAAACATATTCCTCTGCATTATTTCCAGGAGTTACTCTTTTGTTTTTCTTGTACTTAGAGATCAAACCCAGGGCCTCACAATGTTGAGACCAGTGATCTACCAGTGGGTTACACTCCTGGTCCATCTAGATCTTGTAGTCAGCTTTTCCATTTATGTTTGTGAAACACTTAGAGTTGTTTTTGTGTATGTTTATGAAGTATGAGATGGAAGGTGTGGAATTTAAAAGGTTGGTCCTTTCTCTATTGAATTGCTCAGAAGTATTTTTGAGCTTTACCTCAAAGTAACATATTTAAAATGAAATTGACCCATTTACTTTTTGGTCACTATTTGTAACCTCTTCCTTGTGGTATTTTATGTTTTTAAGAAAAAAAAAAGCTAAACCAAAAATGGTTTAGATTTCCTCTTTTTGTAAAAGTAATACATACTAACAAATGTTAATAGTCTTAGAAATGTAAAGAATAAAGGCGATTAAAAAGTACATCCATGATCTTGATCCATAGACATAATAACTATTAACAATGGGATGCTATTATCTTTTGCAGTGTGTTCTTAATATGATACTCCATGGTCAACTGATCCATTTACCTCACTCTTTTTAAGTGCTGTTCCATTATGTAGCTGTGAAATGATTTATTCAGTCTTGTCTTGGTAAATTTTAACTAAAAATAATCATCACACGTGTGTATTTGCATAGATACCTGCGCTATGTTGAGATGTCCTGTTTTTAGTAATTATGCAAATTTTATTTAGGATGAGAAAACCAAATGTAATAAATATGCTGATGAACTTGCAAAAATGGAGCTGAAGTGGAAAGAACAAGTAAAAATTGCCGAAAATGTAAAACTTGAACTAGCTGAAGTAGAGGACAGTTACAAAGTAAGTTTCTCACAGACTTGACGTATTTTTTGTGTTTAGTGAACATGGTGCTGCTGAAAATGTATTACCTATAAAATATGAACTGAGTAAATTTTCAATATAGATAGACTAGGTAGTATTTAGTTGCATACAGTTTACTTACCAAACTGAGAAGATGGGCTCCCAAGTGCTTTGGTTATTATGGTTTTAGATCTTTGGATTCAAGTGGATTTTAAAATTTATCTGTTTTGTTTTGTTTTGTTTTGTTTTTCAAGACAGGGTTTCTCTGTATAGCTTTGGAGCCTATCCTGGCACTAGCTCTGTAGACCAGGCTGGCCTTGAACTCGCAGAGATCCGCCTGCCTCTGCCTCCCGAGTGCTGGGATTAAAGGCATGCGCCATCAACGCCTGGCTTAAAATTTATCTTTTAAAAAAGTTTTTTTTTTTTTTTTTAAGCACACATTCATTATATAACATTGGATTTCAATGTATTTTCATGCATCTGTATAGATTTATTTTTATAATATTCTCCCCCTGAAAAAAATATTTCCCACTGATACCCTGTGTGATTAGTTCCCTTCTTCATTCCCTGTCCTGTCTGTCTTCCACCTTCTCCAAACCCCATGGATTTCACTAGGGTTGCTTTGGGAACGTGGGGAAGAGGTTATTTTCAGAAGCATGGGTAATGCGGCAGTGACTATATTCTGAGAAAATGTCTCTATCTCCTCCAGCAGCCATCAACTACCAATTAGTTCACAGAAAAAATGGAAGTTCTCATTAGATTATGTTCTCAATGATGGGATTTTGATGGGCTAGTCTTGTACAGGTCTTAGGAAGATAATCACATTTACAAAGGCTGTGTCACACACACAGAAGATGGCAATTCCAGCATTCTACCCTTTTCTCTGACTCTTAGATTCTCTTTCTGCTGCAGTGTTCCCTGAGCCTTGGATGAGGTAACAAAGACGTCCATGTAGGGCTAAGCATTCTGTAGTCATTTAATGCCAGCACTTTGGCCAGTTCTATAACCACCCATTGGAAAGAGAAACTTCTCTGCAGCACTACACTAGCATAGTGGCTGTGAACATCATAGAAGGCAGCTTGACAGATACACATGCATCATGGCCATTTAGCAGTAGAATAGCACAAGTCCTGTGTTCTTCCTATCTGTGGGCTTTTGACTAGATTGATGTTCACTACCAGATCTGAGTTCCTTCCAATGGAGAATACGCTGCAGGCTGTTGCACTGGTGGGCACGATGTGCTTAGCACACAGGACCCATAGCTTGGTGAGACTTGATGACAGTTCTTTCCCAGGAGCTTGCATAACACTTGCTGTGAAAGTTAGCCAGTTCCAGTTTGGTTTCTCAAGTCCTCTAACCAAAGTATGTGATGTCTAAAGCAGTAAGGTCTTACCTTCCAGTTCTTGTACATAGCCAACAGCGGTGGCAATAGCTTTTGTTTTTTTTGGAATGGCCAACAAAATCTTTAAAAGCTGTCATTTCATTTTCTTATTATCGTAAATGTGTGTGTTAAACTATTTTGGGACTTTTTTTAGTTCCAAAATAATTTGTTTAGGGTAATGGTCTATTGTCAGGAACTTGCTAGTTTTAAAATTCATCATACAGATTACTGTGATCCTAAATACAATACTGTGAGGTAAATGGTATAATATTAAAGAAACTTATTTTTGCCAGTGTAATATTAGGTAATAGTTTGAATAATAAATGGTGTCTGTAAGAATGATAGAAAAAAATGAGGAAGCCACTGGACTGGTAAATCAAAAGTATTATCCTTTTAAGGAATAAAACATGGATAGGTTGAGTTCTAAGTAATTTAATGTTATGTCTAGCTAATTGTTTTGTTGCACACATAAATGTGTGTGTGGGGGGCACAGCTGCTAGGGAAGAATTGTAACTATAATGGAGTAGATTAATAATATCTTGAAGTCTTCGAGTTCTAGAAGGCCTAAAATAGAATTTGGGTCCTACATGATGTTGAGAATTTTCTAGGAGGATAAGAACTCAGAGTGTGTCCTATTCAAAGTAATTTGGAAGCCCTAAATGGTTGATAAAGTCCATTTCCTTTTGGATACCTTTTTTGTTTTTACTCATAAGTACGGGTGTTTTGCTTGTATGTGTGTCTGCGAATTTCTTGTGTTCCTGGTGCCATTGGCAGCAAGAAGAGTGTATCAGATTTCATGAAACTGGAGTAGTGAGCTGCCATGTACGTGCTGGGAATTGTACTCTGGAGAGCAATTAAAGTTCTTAATCCCTGAGGCATCTCTCCAGCCTCCTTAGATTTGATCTGTTATTATAGACCAGGGACAGGAACCTAGACAGATTGATCTGAAATACAATTTTTATGAAGAAACACTGAAGAGTAGTTGGGTTTGTTGTTGCTGCTGTTTGCTATTTTGTTTGAGATGTGGTCCTGGTTTCTCCATGTAGCCCTAGCTGACATGGAACTTTCTGTGAAGATCATGCGTGTCTCAGACTCACAGAGATCTGCCTCCCTCTGCCTCCCAAGCTCTGGGATTAAAGGTGTGTGTTAACATACCCAGCTATGAATAGTTTGATTTGTACGCATTAATGCTGTTGGTCTTGGGTAGTTATTGAAGGAATGAGTGACAGATTAAAAATGCTGGGGAGGAGGAAATGGTTGTAACGTGTTAAGCTTTGCTCACACTGTTGGTTCTGATGGTGTCTGTTAACTAATGGAAGAAAATAGGTGTGGGACATTTTGTTTTTACAGTGCAGGAAATACAGCAGTGAAAACATGTTTTACCATTACTGAAAATGATGGATTGCCCCAGCCTCGGTAACAATATCTGTAATCTTAAAACTTGCAAGTTTGAGGTGGGAGACAATAGGCCATTCATGTCCAGCTTGACCTAACCCTTGAATCCCTGGCCAGCTGGAGGCACAGGATGAGACCCTGACTCAAGTAACAGCTGGCAGATTTGGAATTTGGGAATGAGAATGGAACATGAATTAATATTTCTAGTTGCTTCTTGTGGAAAGAAGATGAACAACAACAAAAGAATGGTTCTAGAATGTCTTTAGGAAAAAGATAATAAAGAACAGGCATTAGACCGGATGTGGTGGGTGTGGTGGCATACACCTGCAGTCCAGCTACTCGGGAGGCGGAGAGGGAAGGGTTGCTTGAGTCCGAGAGTTCTGGGCTGTAGTGTGCTATGCCTTTTGGGTGTGTGCACTAAGTTCAGCATCAGTATGGTGACCTCCTGGGGGCTCCCGTCAGAAATGGAGCAGGTCAGAACTCCTGTGCTGATCAGTAAGTAGTGGGATGGTGTCTGTGCATAGCTACTGCACTCCAGCCTGGGCAACATAGTGAGACCTCGTCTCTTACAAATAAAGAAAAGAAAAGAAAAAAAGAACAGGCATTAGGATAAAAATATTGATGCAGTTTTACATAAACCAAAGAGTAATTGTCAAGGTAAGGAAAGCTGCCTCAAAGGTGCAAGGAATATTTTGGAAGATAGGGCAGAAAGAATGTAAAAGCCACAGGAAGTCATGGAATGAGGTAGAATTATGTCCTTAGAACATGACCTCACTGTTGCATTCTTAATTCCCACAGCAGTGGAGGTGACTGGCACAAGACCTGCACAATGTTGAGCCTGTCATGGGAGGAAAAGGGCCAAGGACCTAGAGGCAGATAATGGTAGCTAGGAGGGAAGGGCTTATAAGGTCTCACTGAATATCTGGGAATTAGTTGCTGGGAGAGGGAGAGATTATTTATTCAGTGGTATAGCCAGTAAAGAACCCATAATCCTCTACCTAGGATCCTGTAAGCAACCCTAATGAAGCCCATTGGGTTATCAGTAACGCCATGAAAGAAGAGGAGGGATGGAGTGGGATTCTGTGAGTAGGGGGAGAACAGGACAATAGGAGGTGACTGTGTTACAGATATACTATGCTTATGATGCCACAAGAAACTCATGCCTAATCAGTGTGTTCACAAACTTTAAAGGGGAAGCTAGGTGAGACATGAGAATTAAGAACTCGAGACTAACCCAGTTGTAGGCCAGCCTGGCTATATAACTCCAAAAATAGAAAAAAGAAAGAAAAGAAAAGGAAATTGGTCAGTAATGGCAACTGATACAAAGACTGGGAACTGAGGAAAATAACTGAATGTGTTGATGAAACTTAGTTTGATAGTATAGTACTAAGTGGATCTATGCATAAGGAGAAAGTAGATAATAAGAATATTAATGATGATTTTTTTTTTATTCAGCTACAATTGGCAGAGAAAGATAAAGAAATAAATGGTCTGGCCTCGAATTTGGAAAATCTCTCAAGGGAGAAGGTATTGAACAATGCACTTTAATAACTGTGGACATCCTGTAACCATTCTTTGCTTTCTTCTGTTCATCTTCTCTTTGAAAGCTTTCTTCCATGTCTTCAACTGTCAACTCCTTGGTAGTAAACAGTAATTCACATACCAATTTTATTTCCAAGTTCCACATATACCAGTGTTGAGAAATAGGCCAAAATTGAAAATTACTTCATTACCTACTTTGAATTTAACAGTAAACTAAGTTTATAGTATTCAAATTTAGACAAGGAGTGAATTTTTAATTTTTTTGTTCAGACTTAGGTATTTTCTTGCAAACAAGTAAAGTAAATGGGAAACTACTGTTTCTTGCCATTGATGAAATTCAAGCTTTTAAATCAGTTTTTCTCAACCTTTCTAATGCTGCAGCCTTTTAATACATTCCTAAATGTTTGAAAGCTTGTGTCTTCTGTGTGAGTTTGATGCTTGTCAATGTGTACAAAGCTTATCAATGTGTACAATGAGTCAGGTGGTAGTTTGGGTGGGTTAGGAAAATGCAGCATTGGAAGATCCACTTAAGGAGTCTTCATGTGTTGTGGTTTGACAATAGTTTGCTTGTCCTACTAGTACCCTGCAGTCAGTCAGCTGTGACGCTACTGCATTGCCATCTCCGGCAGGTTAGGGCTCAGTTGTATATGCTTGCTTCCACGTCAGATGCCAGCCACAGTTTCCACAATTTTTAATTATGCAAATATATTTGTATATATTTTATGCTTCTTTGTTAGGTATCTGTCCCTTCTACTTAACTGCAAGGACCATGAAGAGTACAGAGTATACCTGTTTTAGTCATTGTATTTGTAGTCCCCATTACAGTACTTAGTATTTGAAGTAAAATATTTTTGAATATTTTTTTGTTGAATAAATAAGCTGATAGAACAAAGTTAATTTATAGATAGCATTTGCTTATAAAAATATTTGATGAAAGAAATATACTGAGACCAGTAGTTTTATTGTCTGTTTTAAAAGTGTTAGCCTTGTCAGTTAATGCCATGTCGGATACTTGCTGTCTGCTTTGGTTTATTACTATTATTCTAGAACTTTTAAGTTATTCCTAGTCTCCTGTAGTATTGTCATAGTTTATATCACTTGAAGCAAAGTATTTGTGATTGTTATTTCAAATAGCTTATTTAATCTTTAGTGTCTGTTCCACAAGAGTATTTTTGAGAACTCTAAAAACTGTCCATCCAAACATCAGAAGATTGGTGTTAGGTTCTCACTGTTTATCACTGTGCCTAGAAGGAAGCAGTGGTCATTAAGCATTCGTTGAGTGAATAAGTGCTGACCCTACTGTTTTTATTTCTTGTGTATATGAGTGTTTGCCTGTATGCATGTGTATGCATATGTTAACCCCTAATCCCCTCCTCTTTTTTTTTTTTTTTTTTTTTTTTTAGGGGGATGGTGTAAAAAGGAAACACAGTATAAACCAGGGGAAGATGGAATGAAGGCAGTATGGGAGGAAGAGCAGACCAGAAGGTGCCTGTTAGCCTCCATGTGAGTGCTGAGCACTGAACCTGGGTCCTTGACAAGAGCAACAAGTATTGTTAACCCCTAAGCTGTGTTTTTAGCTGCTGCTCCTCATTGAGACCCAGTTTGCTTTGAACTCACTATATAGTCCAGGTTTACCTCAAACTCTGGTGATCTTCTTTCAACCTGGTTTTTTTTTTTTTTTTTTTTGTGGTTGTTTGTTTGGTTTTTCGAGACAGGGTTTCTCTGTAGCTTTGGAGCCTGTCCTGGAACTAGCTCTGTAGACCAGGCTGGCCTCGAACTCAGAGATCCGCCTGCCTCTGCCTCTGCCTCTGCCTCCCGGTGCTGGGATTAAAGGCGTGTGTCACCACAACCCAGAGTGTTGTTTATTTTATGTGCATAGATATTTTGCCTACATGTATGGTTGTGCATCATGTGTGTGCCTGGTGCCCATAGAGGCCATAAGAGGGTGTCAGGTTTTTGCCCAGTTATAGGCTGCCATGTGGGTGCTAGGAATGGAACCCCGTCCCCTGGAAGAGCAACCAGTGTTCTTCACTGCTGATGTCTCTCTCCAGCTCACAACTCTCTCTTTCAAAAAACAAAAATTTATTTTACATACCTACCAGTTTCCTCTCCCTCCTCTCCTCCCATTCCCACTCTCGATTGCCACCCCACCCCCATCCACTCCTCCATTTCCATTCAGAAGTGGTAAGGTCTCCCATGGGAGACAGCAAAGTATGGCATATCAAGTTGAGGCAGGACCAAGCCGCTCCCCCTTGCATCAAGTCTGGGCAAGGCATCCCACCATAGGGAGTAGGCTCCAGAGAGCCAGCTCATGCTACAGGGACAGGTCTTGGTCCCACTGCTAGGGGCCCCACAAAAGACCACGCACACAACTGTCACCCACATGCAGAGGGCATAGGTTGGTCCCATGCTGGCTCCCTATCGGTTCGTCCAGAGTCTGTGAGCTCCCATGAGCTCACGTCAGCTATATCTGTGGGTTTCCCAGTTATGATCTTGACAACTCCTTTTATTTAAAAAGACAAATAATTAGTTTTGCCAAGATTCACTCAATTCAAATTACCTGTACCATTTTGTAGATTGGTAAGTGTTTCCTTAGATACTAAAGTGAAATTAGTAGATTCCTAAGAAATTCAACCTTCACAGCATTTCCCTTTGTTTGAGCAGGGGTGGGTCTTGAGATGGTATCTATGTGTGTAGGTCATGCTGGCCTCCAGTGTCTATACTCTACTTCCTGGGTACTAGGACCATACCTTATATACACATTTGAATGTTAAAATCTCTTATATTTGTTTGTAGAAAAAACTGGTGGCTTAAGAGGAGATGTAACTTGGCTGAGTCTATGAATGCTTGAGACCTCTAGTCTAGGTTATTTAGGGGGTCTCCTGCATCTTTCCCTCTCCCCTTTTCTCTTTTCTCTCTCCTATCATAGGGTGTTTTGGATTGTGCTGGGGAATCAAACCCAGGGCATGTGCAGGCTTGTCAAGTGTTCTACCATTAAGCTGTGTCTTCAACTTTGAGATTTCAACAGAGATTTTCAATATAACCCAGAGTGCCTTGAATTCACTTTGAATCTCAGGCTAGCCTCAATTTTGGGATCCTCCTTCCTCTACCACCCAAATACTGGGATGTTATTTTTAAATATTGGCAGTTTAAAACATTTATACATCCATTTCATAATCATTTTGCTAATTTATGCAGAAGCCTGCCGGGATTTTTTAATCAGGGTTTCATTGTATCTATATTATTAGTGTAAAAATGTTTTCTGTACATGTACTTGGTATGTATCTCTCCATTCGTGCCATCTTTAATCACAGTCAGGTTTTGAATGAATACAACTTTTTTTTTTTTTTTTTTTTCCTTCTCCAGACAGGGTTTCTCTGTGGCTTTGGAGGCTGTCCTGGAGCTAGCTCTTGTAGACTAGGCTGGTCTCGAACCACCTACCTCTGCCTCACGAGTGCTGGGATTAAAGGCGTTTGCCACCAACGCCTGGCCTAGGATAATGTAATTCTTTTAAAAAGATTTTTTTTAAAACTGACTTTTTAGTCTTGTGGTTAAACTTTCTATGTTTTTTTTTTCTTTTAATACTGGATTTGATTTGCTAATAAGGATTTTTGCATCAGTGTTTATGAAGGCTGTGGTGTGAAGACTTTTCTGGATATCCTTTCTTGTGTACACACAAATGTATATCCAGGTACACATGTGTGTGCATGAGGAGGCCCAGGGTAGATACCAGGGGTCCTGGGTGGCTCCAGAATATATATGGCTAGCTTCCCTAACTACCTTTGCTCTGAGGATTCCCTGCTTTTTACAGCTGGCTATTGTGCCTGATCTGCCTTTATGTGGTTTTGTGGCTTTGAACTCCAGCCCTCATGGTTTGTGACAGACACTTGAACTACTGAGTTGTCTCCCTAGTGCCTTGCTTGATTGGATAGCCAAACATTGGCCTAATAAGAGGTCGGGAAATGTTTCTTCCTTTATAATTTAAAAGCTATACAAGATAAACATATATGTGGACTTTAG